TTTCAAAAAGATAAAATACAACTGTTTAGGTTTCTATATTACAGGAAGACAGGCTGCTGCTTCCATTTCAAACAAAACCTTGGAGTTTCCTGTAGGACAGAAATTTCAGTTTAGTCAGCTTAGAACAACACTCAAAAAACAACAAAAAAAAAGAGAAAAGAAAAAAACCTGCAAACTTAACACAGTCTCCCAGAGCACACAAGTCTCACCACCACCCTTGCAAAAAAAATGCAACTGCTTTGGGTTGCCCTGTCAATCAGAAGAAAGTTTAATATGCTCTGAACAGCCCAACGCAGAGCTGTACACTGCCAAGGAACAGTAAACCACAGCAAGTGTCTGGATGGGTATTAGGCACAGACTTAAATGGACATGCTTTCTGAAACTTTAAAAAAATAAAACCACAAAAAAATGAAAATCATTCCTCTAACTCTACTTTTAACACACATTCATAAATCGTTGGCTTTTTACTTCCAGTGTACGTCGGTATTCAGAGTGTATTTATTCCACAAAGAAGAGCCAGAGGCATGCCGTTTCACAACTCCAGTCTTTGCTGACAAGAATAGCATCTTGCTCTGTAGCATGGACGAAGCCAATGGTTTGTTGGGCACATCTAGGTTGACTCTTGAGGTAAATAAATAAGTAAGAAGTAATAAAAATATCATCCCCACCTTCACAACTCTAGTTGTACCAACCGGTTGTCTAGGTGCATGCAGAAAACAAAACAAAAAAACCTCACACCAACTCCAGTATCATCTGGAGAACAGCATCATTAAAAATTCCATATTAACCATAAGAGCAATTCATTTAATGCAATGACAACTTTATTGAAGGAAAAAACCAGCACTTGTAAGTAAAGATTTCACTTTATTACAGAGAAAGTTGTAAGTTAGGAAAAAAGACGTTTATCAAAGTAGAAATAAAACAGTGTAAATACACAGAAAAAGCACAACAGCAAACAGAATCAGTAACAGTATAAAACATTGTGGAGAATTTCTGAGAGTTTGGTTTTTACTTTACAAAACAATTCCACAGCTGTTAGAAAAATTTAGTGTCGTCACATTACAGTGAGGCACGTGGTTTTAAGAAAACATACCATTTCTGTGCTTTCTGTCCTAGGTGGCCAGTATTTGCTATGGTTGTAAACATCAGTATTTAAGACAAATGTGTGCTTAAACGTCATCCTCCTCCTCAGTTTTGAGAGTCTACAACAGCAAGAGTGATCTTACTTTCATTAATGTGATTAAATACCAAAACTAAGCGAGAACCGTCCTCCTGCACCAAGCTGGAAGCTGTCCCATAGCAGAGTCTCTGCCCTCCCCCAGATTTGCACAGTAAATATTCACACTAAAGCCACACACTTTCTTTTTTAAAACATGATTTCTTAAAAGCATCTCACCTCGGTGCAGAAATTTCTTCCTTGGTTTTTGTAACAGCTCATGAACAATCTTATTACTGTAAATACTAAACAAGATTAAATCGTTCACATCACTGTACAACCATCTCAGATAGTACCAGTATTCACAATGGACTTCAAACCTTTAAAATGTGAGATTTTTTTCGTTACTTCAATGTGTAGAATCTCAATACTTTGGGAACAGATGACGACCACCCTCCCCATTTCCATTTCTACTCTCTCTGGGAAGGCAGCTGGTCCCAGATATGCACATTTCGTACTAAAACCGTATGCTAAGGCTGCTTGGTTAAAGTTATGTTACCTGTGCTGCAAAAAATAAAAGAAAGCGGATAGGCAAGTTGACCAACAGTGAGGCTGGGCAAAAAGCACTTTCTGGTAGAACACCAAATCCTACCGAGATGGGCATCCAACATCATAAAAAGTTTCTTTAGGAAAGTCAGCCTTGAGTTAAGCGCTGTAGGCAACTGAGCAAGGACTTTGGGAAGGACAGAGCTTTGCGATTTAAAACACAAACATCTCTATTTGCAGGAGTGCGCACACGACACACATTCCTGCCTTGAAGGAAATTAAGATAGAAAGCTTCAGAAATGCCCACCATGCTTCCTGCCAAGCGGATAACCAGAGCTGATGATATCAAAACTTAACACAAAATAGTTTTAATGACAAAAAACGGTATAATGGTATAATCTAATTCAGATTGAAACTGGTCAAGAGGAAACATTCATATACTAGTTTACTCCCTGATGATGTAAAATCATATAAAATAAAGTATTCTAAGAAAGTGGCAAAATCTTGTGCTGTTAAACTTGGCAATAGCCGGAACACAGCTACTTGTAAGTGAGTAAGAATCTGAAGAGTTTTGTTCTGATAGAGAAGAGTTATTTGAAATCAAAACTGCTTGTAGATGAAGTGACAAACCCCGAGTATGTTTCACATATTGGCAAGAATACGGTGAGTCTCTCCTACTGCCTGACCTTTACAGGAACAGGCTACAACAGCAAAGGGCAACAGAAACCCTAGTGGCACCCTGGCGATCCTTGTGTCTTTGCCATCTCCCTCTGGGTTCCCTTCCTTTAAGGGCACGACGGTTTAGCCTCGTGTGCTATGCAGTCAAATGAACATTTGTTCGTCTCTCTTACCGAATAAAAGGCTGTGGAGCTGGAATTACAGCTTTAATAAGGATAGGAGGGAGGGAAAGAAAAAAAATCCTTTCAAGTTTACCTGCTATCTGTTGGTAGTTCCCTAAATTTCCTACTTCTAAGTGGTTGTGTGCACAACAGTCAGCTAAGAGGTTCCAGTTAGCTGGTACGCAAGTTGAAAAACTAATATTCAGCATACCCAATTCTAGTGTTCTACAGGAACTGCTAGAGAGTCAGGGTACCACAATCCTGCACACGCTAGTCAAGGAATAAGCAAAAGGCTTTTACTCCTTCTAATCTGAAGTCTTCAAAAAAAGAACCCCAGAAGTCAAATTCCATTATGTTGACTGCTGATGAGCCTGGAATGATGATCCGAGTTAACATAACTTCCCCGGAGAGGGGAAGGAGAAATAATGCATGCTATACTTGTAGCGTTTTCCAGGAGCACCCAGAGATGTTAAATCTAAAGAAATATTGGAATGTAAAAGGCATTAAGGTTGCATTTCAATTGCCCTTATACAAAGGAATGCTGTAAACATTATCAAAGTCCTAGTAAAAGACTAACACAGGTCCTTTGACAGATCTAAATTGGGTTTTGATCCTACTCCCTGATAAAAAAAAAAAAAAAAAAGAGATATACATCAGTTTAGATACTTGTCTTCGATCAGTCAGGGAAAAGAAGTATCAGTATTCTTTAATTCCCAGTCTCCCTTGGGCATTTAACTAATTCTTCCTTTTAAGAAAAGTAATACTCAACCTAGTTATTTCACCACTAACTTCCAAATCCTAGGGGGAAAAAAAAAGCACCAGGACATAGCACTTCAACACCATCCTGTATAATTGATTCATCCCAACATCAGTGCCATGTTTTCAAGGTGGTAATTTCCATTCAAATGCTTTTGTAACAGTAACTCTAGCCAGCTGGGATCCACAGAAAGCCTGTTAAAATGTCCCTTTCATACCATCCTCAAAAGGGAATTTTATTTTTTTTCTTTTAGAGGATCCTAACAGCAGGATGGTACTGTGCTTCATAAATTACCAGAAGGACACTTAATTTTAATATTTTGAATTAACTCTGTTTCTAGTAACTTTCTGGAAGCCATAGAATTATTTGGCTTCACTGTGAGCTTCTACTTTATTGCCAAGTAGATCTATTTTTTTCCTACATTAAAATCTTTGTGGTACAAGTCAGGGATAGCCTTGCCATGCAAACACAACGCTGTTAAATGACTAAACTCTTGGTAGATGGAGGAAGGGAGGGTTCAGTTCATACTAAAGTCCACTGAATATCTTCTAGACACTGACTCCAGCAAGACAGCTGGGTAAGAGGAAAGGTGAAAGCAGTTAAACAGTATCTCACACAGCAGAAGTGGGAATCTGTGCTCAGATATTAAACAACTGACCACTGCAATGGTTTGGGAGTAAATGATTATACATAGCTCGGAAGATAAAGAGAGTGTAGGCTGGCCTTGGAATTTGGATACCGACTGTTGAGCATTGGTTTGGAGCTGGCAGCGAGATTGTTACACGCTTTCTTTGCTAAGACGGGCAGTAGAAAATTGTACATTCTCCTCAAAGCAGAAGTTCACTAGGGTATGCAAGAGCCTGAGGAGAAACGGAACTGATCCCACTTACAAAAAAAATAAAGTTAGAATTTTAACCTATTTACAAGTTCAGAAGAAAATGTCTTCTCCCTGGCCCAGACTGCTTAAACAATAGCCTGCTTCCACCTTATCAGAGTTTGTCCTTTGAGAAAGGACATACACAAATTCTCTCTTTGCTTACCTATCATGCCCTCAGCTTCACACTGCTCCTATGCTACAGCTGGGGGAGAAGAGAAGCACCTTGCTTCATGTGAAAAATTCCAGTTTCCTACCTTGTCTGTATTCCCATTAGCTGTAGGCAAGGCAAAGAACTCAGGTTCCTGGCAGCTGAAAAATTCTATTAACCTTATTTTGCAAGTGCTTTTTCTACAGGAACGTGTTTTTACAGATGAAAATGTCCCTTTCATGTATTTTAAGGAAATGCCATCAGTCTAAACTGAAAATTAAACACTTCATTGAAGATGCAAACATTTCATACTTACTCCAAAACAGTCTTTTCATTTAGAATTAAATCTTTTAGAAGCCTCATAAACCTAAGATTTTGTAAGAGAGGCAGGAAAAGAAAGAATAGCAATATTCCATCATCCAAGGCAAACAGTGCAAAGATTAAGTGACATAAGGCTATTCAAAAAACCCCAAGTTGTCAGTAAGAAATCAGTTCCAACTGATTTCTTTTTTCTTGAAAAAGAAATCCTGTAGACTGGCATAGTCCCATCAGAGTAGAGGTCTCCATTTGACAGACTTCACGTATTAACTTTGTTACTCTTGCAAAACCAAACAAATACATGATTTTACATAAGAATTATCATAACAAATTCTGGACCTCTGCCCAGTTCTTCTGCCAGACTGAACTTCATTTGATCACGAGCACCCTGTCCTACAGACACCATTGCTTACAAAACCCAGCAATTGCATACACTGGATTTAACACAAGGAGCTTCTAACAACAAGCTGAAAGGCACATGTTTAAGACAGAAGTAGGAAAATACATACACAGTGATCTCAACATAGCTCTGCTATACTTCCTAGAACTTAGTGAAGCATCCAGTATTCCTGTTAAGTCAGACAGACCGAAACACATTTCTTCACAGCATCCCTACAGGCGGGAGAGAAAAAAAAAAACAACAAACCACAAACAAAGTCACCTCAGTTATGCTGCTCGATGAGACTCATTCCATGCTGCTATCACGACTTTAAAGATCAGCTGACCGTGTATTAATTGCACTTACACAATTTGCACGACTACACGAATGCATTTGAGACAAGGGGGCCTGCTCACCGTCCACCTGCCCGCTGCAATGGCGGTGACACCGGTGAGCCTGAATCGAGGCGGCGCACCGAAGCAGCGTGGGGCTGACGGAGCAGGATAGGGAACTGTGTGCTCCAACACAGAACAGTGCTCGTGAGGGAGAACGGGGAAAAAAGGTACACAGAAGAATACACTGGTCTAGTGGCATTTTGCACCAACATTTAGGCATTCCAAAGGCAAGCCTTAAGCTTAGCATGTAGTCAGCACACTTAAGTATTTTTACAGGAAGCCACCTCATTTTGTTACATTTGTGTTCTCCCATTAGAGAAGATGCTTAGCTTCATTTTCAGGTTTAACTACACGTATTTCCTCCCCCTAAAACACCACCATGGGAAAACTTCCAAAGCCATACATTACAATGCTTCTATAAACTAATCTTCTCTATCATTAAACCTCAAGATGACAAACAGGGAGGGAGTAGGGAAGCTTACCTTGCAAATGGTATGAAGGAAATGCTGTACCTAAGAAGAAAGATTTTTAAAGTTACTCTTTATGTCAGAGTTTATTAGAGTCACAAACAAGAACAACCCCTCTGACGCTATAAATAGGGAACCACAAGACACACAACCAAAATGAAGCTTTGAGTTTGTGAGCAACAGGAATGAGTATCCTTGCAAGTCATCTTAGCCCAGCCAGGTTGTAAAACACTATAGCAAAATCAGGGGGCATACTGTAGAAGCATTTTAAACGCAGTTCTCCTGCACCAGTATTCTTCATGCTCCAATGCCTACAGGCAGGTAAGATTTGTCTCGAGGGCTGGCTAGATGTTCATAGCAGTTTCTGTACTACTTCTGTGACATTACACAGAGCATATGTTAACTTAAAGGACACTGACAATTTGATAAGCGTATTTGGGTCTTTTAACAAGACAAATTCAGGAGAGCGTAAAAGAGGAGCACCAGACAATAAGCAACAAATTGATTTAAAAGGGAAAGAAAAAAAGCAGTTTTACTTCAAGCTCACAGAAATTAAACACATTCAAAAGAACTTCCCCGAGAAACGGAGCCCTGAGCTCCACCTCCAAAGCTTCTGAAAGTGGTGCAAGAGACCAAGAAGCGGGAACAAGTCAGCTCCCCACTGATGCCTTGTTTTGCATCTAGGGGAACGATGAGGTAAAAATTCTCCTTCCCTCTAACTCATGCGAGCTCAAAATCCATTCACAACTCAGCTACTGACGTTAGGTGCAATAGAAAATGGAGCGCGTGGGGAGGAAATCACTTACCATGCCAAGGCAAAAAACTGTAAGATGCAGAACAGGAGCGCAAGCCCTTCCTTACGCCACTGGAGGAAGAGAGAAGGGGACAATGAGACAACAACGTAAGCATCTTATTTTTAAAATATACTCCGGTTATATATACATATAGGACTCCAGTACTCACCCAGAAAGCAGAACACAGTGTTAGTATGAGACACAACTAGAAGAAAACAAACAAATTCTATTAAACATAGAAACAACTCTTTATAGATATTGTAATACTGTAATGGGTTCCTTCACAGAGACAGAAACAGATCACATCATTTCATAGTTTTAGCCAACCCTGCATAAGAGTTCCCCTTATTAAAATGCTCTCGCTGTTACATTTCTGAAGTGAATTAAAGCAATGAGGAAATATCAGCCCGATATCTCCAGAAAATAATTTAATGGCTGCAAAGGAACAAGAGGAAGAGGTTCCTACAGCTCTTTTGCAACATCAGCGGGTTCCTACTTCATCCCACACTTCTTGGTGTTACAGGTATATACCACACTTCTTCACTTTGCATAAGTAAGGCTTTTCAGTTACAACTCTAGTCTTTCTGCTGCTGTACATACCACATTTCCTGTTGATTCTCAAGGTTACCATAGGGTTGAAGTTATGTCGTTACTTAATTCTTACCAATTAAAACTACAATACACTTTCAAGAACTCTCAACTATTGCTTAGTAGCTCTCCCGTTTAATATAAAGTCCAGCACAGCCATTCAAACCAGCACTTTTTCTTTTTTCAGTTGCACTGTGTCTTTACTACAGTTAAAATCTTGGGGGGGTGGTAGGCCATTTTGGATTATTTTCTGTCTTAACCCTCAGTTTTAACAGGAGCCTCCTTTTAGTTCAAGTTTTCCTTTTCAATTTAAGACACGACAGCTCATTTAGCTATGACAGATGTGATATTTGATTTTCCTTCATCAACACCTAAGAGCCTTTTGATACACGTACCACTGTGCTACTAGAGATTATAACGTGCATTTTTCTGCTTGAGTTAAAAAAAAATATATATATATTTAGTACTGCATATTCAAGACAGCAACACCTGCATTGCTAAAGAAACCATACACTTCACCTCAACAATGATTATGGACATTAAATGTAGTTTTTCCATTAGTTTTAAGGTGGCGATTTGTATATTGGTCTAAGTACTACATCATACATCGAACAACTGGCTTTATTCCAGCGAACGACATTCCAGGCATTCTCCTGAGGCCAGGCATCCTAAATGCATACAGGACAAACACACCAGGCAGTGGGCTTCTGGCGGGCTGCCGATCTACGAGCATACACCATCAGTTTCTCAAGCTCTATCAGTCGCCTGCGGCCTCTCTGGATGTTTAAAGAGAAAATAGGAAGCGCTGATGCCAAGCGAACGCTCCGAAGACATTCACACCGAAAACGGGAGGACGGTTTCATGCAAGTTAAACCACCTTCCAGATTTTAGACTCTCCAAGAAAAAGCGGGAAAGTTGAAGAGAAAAAAAACCACGTGCACTTTAAACAAGAGAGAGTCTGAAACTTAGCAGCAATTTTCACACGCCCCCCAGTAGAAGGTTGGCCACAATTCCCACCTTCTGAAGATAAAAATAATTCCAAAGGCTGACTTCAGTTGAATGTTGAATCTGCAATATAGTTGTGTCATATGAGTTTCAAAACCTGAAGCTATCAGCCAGCTGGGATGATTTCTGTATTTTTAAGGCGAGATGACCAAGGTACAGAGATTCCCCAATTGCTTTGTCAGGAAATTATGTTTTTATCAAGGCAGAAATACCTACGCGGCTCTTTAAAGCAAATCACATAGCATATAAAAAGACAAAATTATGCAAAATAGAATATGTAACAACTTCCATAGCACAATTTTTTAGAAACTAGTTTCCCATCTTTCATCTTTTAAGCAACACGAAAATACAAAGTTGTGACCTCAAGCACGCTAAAAAAGCGTGTGCGTGGTTCAGACACGCCAGCCACAGACCCTTAGTGCTCATTTAGCACAACAACCTGGCTCCAGCTCAGTCTTTCATAATAGGAAGGTGGTTTGCTGGTGCTACACATGCCTTTCCACTACAGCAGATGTGCAGGATGTCTGATGCTTTAAGGAAAAAGAAACCAAACCAAACACACACCCACAAACACATCTTGAGGCGTAGTTAGATCAACATATATGAAAGGACTTTACACTGGAAATTGTTTACAAGTTAGCATCAGTTAAAACCGATCCCTTTGATACTTACTAGCATAACAACAGTAGCAATCAAACGCGTAGGCTCAAACATCCTTTTCAGCTGTTTCATTGGTCCCATAAGAAAAAGAGTGCTGTGAAAAACAAAACAAGATGAACACAGGGGTAGAAAGGCAAAAGTGAAACTCGGTAAGATTCCTCATTAAGGGGGGTTATTTTGTTAAATCGTCTGCTGTCATATGGGGCATCAGTACACTATGTTGTTATGGTAATCGGTGCTACGTAACAAAAGAAACAGGATATACAATGAGACCTGCTTTTCTTTGTGCAAGGTATTTATTCTGTAATTTTCTTCACACTTGTTCAGTTACAATTAACATAAACAGAGTAGAACTATCAAGCTAGAAGCACAGGCCAGCTTCAATTAGACCATTCTTGACACATGCTTTTTTAACCCGCTCTTCAAAAACACAAAAACACCAGCCGCAGAGGCTCTGCGTGGATTGCCAGGTAATCCAGCTCAATTCCTCTACATAAAGGGCTGTTTACAGGCCTGGACCCATACTCTGATCCCTTACCAGATCTGCAGCCCTCATTTAGAGCCCCAGTAATTGATACTGCCTGAATTATACAAGGTGAAACTTTTATTTAAGGTGATATTTCTGCCTCATATACCATAATTATTCCGCCTCATTACTATATTATTTCCAATACCATTCCTTGTGCTTTCTAACATCTTGTTAAGTTTCCTCAATTCCAGAAGGTTGCATCTGTCGCAAAGTCAGCGGGGCTATGCTTCAGGAACCTCAATGGCCATGAAGGCTTACCAAACAGGCCTACCCCGACAGATGGACTGCCCCAAATATGTTCACCAAAACACACAGAACATTACCAAATACAAAATGGCAAAGAATTATTTTTATCTTGAGGAGGGAAAAAACCAACAAAATCAAAAAACCACAATGCTCAAAGCACGAGTTTGATTCTTCTTTACTGATGAGAAACTTTTACCTTGAATGCATTGCTAATAACAATAAACAAAATAAAAATTTTCTTTACCATTTCAGGGCGCTACTGGGGAAACACTGTTCTTTAAAATTCAGCAACAAGAGAATGGTCTCCTTAAGCACATCTTCTCACACAAATGCCACAGTTTCTGCCACTTATGGACCTTCACCTATCATTCTGCTTTAGTTTCTCATCTTTATTAGGGAACTAATATATAAAGATTGTTACCTCCCAATAGATGCAATATTCCCCAGTGTATAAAAGACTGCAAAGAGCATCAGCCCTTTCTTTGGTACCCATAGCAGACAACTACCCTAAAAAGGAACATTTAGAGAGAAAGGGGGAAAAAATTAATATTGTTGTTAAATCGCAAAAGAAATATATCCAAGAAATGTCACAACACAAAAGAAGTCTTCGGAAAACTTAAAGCCAAACTGCAGAATCGCACACAGACAAAAATAAATTGCATTTATTGGCCTTCTTGTTAAGAGTTCGTGCATTGCACCTAACTGGAACTGAGTCAGACGCCTTCCCAGAGACTCAAACAAACCAAGCAACAGCATACAGCAAGGCTGTAATTACTGGGCTGCTGAAACTCAAATATCAGGGAGGTCTGGCAAAAAGTCCTTACCAAGAGCGAGCACAGACATCCTATTGCAAAGCAAGCAACGAAGCCTTTCACTCTGGTGCCCCAACCTAAGGAAGTCGCATCGATAACCTAGAAACGAGGAGAAAAAGAAGGGTGCGAGTTACTATTTGCTAATAGACCTTGCCACGTACCAAAGCGCGCCAGTTCCCTCCGAGCCGCTGCGCCGTGCCCCGGCGCAAACGCAGCCCGGGCGCTGAAGCCCATACCTTCTGGAGCACAGGGGCGTTGCTGCCTGAGATTCATTCTGTTGATTTGCTGGTAAATAACTTATCCTGTGATGCTTGCAGCTCATCTTACTCTGGCTTTAGTTCTCTTTGGGGTTGCAAATCACTGTCTCCTCACTATATCAGCTTGAGGGCAGCCGGCATCTCCGTGCTCTTCTGTCTGGCCTCCTCCCAAAGCCTTTGTTTAGCCCTTTCCCTGCCAGATTCCCTGCTGGGATCACCTTACTTCGAGAGGCTGGGGGCAGAAGGAGGGGGGCCACAACCTAATGAAGATGCTTCTCTTTTGCCCACCTTCCTGACAACTGCTGGGGGGTTGCAGTGTCCCAGAGCCCCCTTGGGGTCTGCAGGGACGTGTTTTGGAAGAGAGTAGGATGTGATGGCTCATTGAAACTTGGAGATGTTTCTTTTCTTGCTTCTGGGACGGTACTAGCCTGGTCTCTGTAGTGAAAGCTCGTTTCTGGTACAGGCTCTGGTGGGCTTTTCAGAGGGGTCATTGGACCAGATTTAATAAACCAGGGAAAAAGTGAGTGGTAGCTCTTGCACAAAAAGGGGAGGCACCAAGAGGCGAGGTACTAATGAGCTCTCACCTGGGATGGTAGGTGAAACATAAACAATGATTAATGCTAATCCTAATGAGTTTGGTCTCTGCTTGGTACCCTGCGGAGCTGCCATCCTGATTACACAGCTTTGTGCAAGGCGCTAAGGTCTGCCGGCACAACAGCTAGCCACAGGCAGGGAGCGGCTGGGCGGGGGCCGGGGGGGGGCCCCCCCCCTGGGGGGGGGGCCCCCGCCGCCACGGGGGCCGGGCGGGAGGCGCTGAAGGGAAGAACCGTCCTGGAAATGGCGTCCGGGCCCCGCGCTCCCGCCGCCCGGGGAACCGCTCCTCCGGAGCAGGCGCACCGACCGCAGGGCTGCGACCCTCCCGCATCGGCGAGGGGGAGGAAGCCCAGCCGAGCGCCGAGTCCCGGCTCCACATGGCAGAGGTACTGTCTTCCCAGGAAGCTACAGGTTTGGTGGGGTTTTGTGTTGGTTTTTTCTTTTTTTAAGAGACTCCCACCTTCCCTAAGAGTCAGGCACTTCTTACTCTTCCAGGCGTACGACACCTAAACCACCCTGCTGTTTTCCGGACTTCAGAAACTGATTCCGCACCCTCCACCAGTTTTCCTTCTCCAGCTGTATCCGACCTCCTCACACCACTGTTAAATCTGGTACTTGGTAACAGTGAAACTTCCAGAAATAGCAATACAGATTTCATTTCACTCCCATAACTGGGGCTCTTCCCCTGTTCTGAAAAAGTCTCACCTCATTTTCGTAACTAGCCAGAGTGGTCCGATGACAGGCAAAGGCACACGGATGCGACGTCTTACTAGCATGCAAAATTCAGCAGCACGAGCAGTTATTTCAGTTTATTTCGCTCAGATGAAAACAGAACTGTAAAACGTTTGGTACATTTTATTTAGCAACATACAAGAAAGAATATAAACTGCCACATGTTAAACTTGCCACAAAACAGCTGGAGAATCACCCCGCTCCCTCCCCCTAAAATTGCGTATCCAAACTGGTACTTTTCTGTGGAAAATGTGTACTGGAGATCTTGCAGTGCACCAGTTTATACTGCTGCTTCTCGATAATCTGTGGGGTAGGAGAGAGTCACAAAGTGCTCCAAGTTTTACTCTGTAGTAATGGTTAACTTCCCAAACGTGTTCCTGTGATTTCCCCAACACGTGTGTTCCACCGAAACGCACAGCACCCGAAGGAGATGGATATCACGCATCTATATAGTCAGGATTCAAGCCCAATCAAGACAACTGTATCAACAGGTCACAACTTAGTATGTGCGATGGACGAGATAAAATACACAGCATAAGCGAAACATGCAGAGCACCCGTTTCAACTCTAGGTGTCGATCCTGGGGGTTCCCCCCCATTATACTTCAGCGCAATGGAGCTTAACGTTAGCATCACTGACCAAACCCAAACCACAATTTTAATTAACGAACGCAGATAGAGCTTCCTTCATGCTAGCACTACATTAGCTCTCCTCTCAGTCACTACCAGCTTTAAAGTGGGTTTTTATAAGCCTTTACGGCAGGTAAAGTAATATATGCTTAGAGTAAAAGAAGTGCCATGATTTACTTCTACCAGCAAAATCTCTCTTCACCCCCATTTGATGTTCCCTTCCTTTTCACTCACCATATCCCTCCGCCACTGGAGTGGACCTAAATAATCTTCTATTACCAAATGAATTTTGATCGCTTCCATGCTGCATTCATTTGCATCCCCTTCTTCATCCTGACACTAAAATTGTTAGGAAACAACTGCAGGAAGATGAAAAAAGCCAACAGAATTTAGGACTCTAATGGGAAATATAGAGGACCTCACCTCTATTTCACAGTGGCCATAAATTCACTCACCCAGATCATGTCCGGCTGATGATAATTTCTTTCAGAGACTGTTTAATTTCAGTTCTCTTCACTCATTTTATCCTACGGACCATAACATTTTTTGCAGTAATCCTTTCCAAAGGATTCCAAAGATAAGGCTGAAGGTGTACTCAAGAAAAAAAAAATACTCTGATCAATAACTCTTTACAAAATAATCCTCACACACCCTCAGTGAGGTAGGCATGTGTTATCTCTCATTTTTACGTACAGGGAACTGAGGCACAGAGAAGTGACTTCCCCGTGGTTACAGTAAATCAGGGACACAGGAAAAACTGCAGTTAGTTCCTGCCTTTTGACCTTCTGATCAATTATTTGAGGCAGCCTGGCCTAATGAAAAGTGAAACAAAGTGTGGTGTTTGTTTTTATTAAGAAAACAGTCACTTAGATGGCAGTAGACTTTTTTCTAAAAATCTCAGGGTCTTCTCTAAGTGAAAACCATTTCTCAAAGGACCTGATTAAATGCCAGGCTTTGAGGTGGGTTGTTTCTATTAAGCCATGCAGTGCAGAATATGAAGATTTTTAAACAAAAACTCCCAGACATCAGAACGTGTTCACATTCTTATCTGCCATCACCTTAAACCACAAGGCCTGCTTTTCGCTACAGTCACTTGCTTCTTGCACTTCATTCCATGTGAGCAGTCAACCTAGACAAGTCTGTTCAGCTCCCCCATTCTTAGGCCAAACCATTAACATAATTTAGGATTTCCAAAATCAATACAAATATTTAAAGTTTAACCTACAAAGTGTTGAGTTAAAACCATGACTATACATGTGATCACACTTCTATTAATATCAGAACTTAAACAGTTTTAAAAATAAACCAAAATGACGTATCTGGAATACATGTTAGCATCCTTTTAAGGCTATATAGGATCTTGGTTTCTCAACCTGCAAATACCAGCATCCTTCAGGGATCGGAGGGTAAACACCCCTCTCTTCCCCAGCCTTAAGCCACTCTGCAATTTAGCAATTTGACTGTCAGGGCAGTATAACCATCGTACGTGGGCACCATCCGATATGTCCGACAGAAGGTCAATACAGTACAATGCGTTTCCGATATAGTGCATGACCGTAGCAGCGTACAGACCCCAAGTAACAGTCTCCAGAACTGCCCAGAGAAATCCGGCTAACATCAGATTAAACTGGTATTTGTGAAAAGACTTACCAGTGTGTGTCTCTGCTAACCTCCAGCTTTTCTCCAGCTCTGGAGTTAATGCCTCACAAATAAGGTAATTTTACCTTTATATAGTGTCAAACAAATGCAATTGTTTTTTCTCCCTAAACCTATCCTCAGATGAAATGAATATTCTTTAATTTGAGCCTGGGTCAGAGACTCCAAAATGTAACTTAGCTGGTTATCAGCTCACAGTAGGGGAAGCCAAGCAAAATGTGTAGTTTAGGACTGACAGCTCAAAATAAATGCAGAGGAATTTTTTTTTTTTACTGTGGATGATTTCTCAATAAAAATAAAATCATGCCAATTTTACAACTCCAGTAATCTCTTAGTATCTGAAGCAGCAATAACAAAATCTTCATAGAAGCATTTGTGGTGGAGGGTCCAGACAACACTCCTGCCTAACAGGTGAACTAAACAGAACCCAGACTCTTAATCGCGACAGTCTTTCTCCAATGTTGTTGAAGACTAACTCACCACCAGTCTATCATTAACTCCAGATACAGGTTAAAAAAAAAACAAAACAAAAAACAACCAAAAAACACCATTAGGAAAACCTGCTTGAAATGTTTTTTCTCAGGGCTACAGAAAAATTAGCCAAATTCTTTATTCCACTAGTAGTGAAACTGCCCCCCATGGCAATGGTTACATGATCACATTATCTCCAGTCTACTTCAAGTCCGTATAAAGTCATATTTATTTAGACTTAACACACATGGTTTCCAGTGATGCTTCTGGTTTAGGCTCCAGCTTCTCTGGGAATTCTAGTTTTTCACAGATTGTCTCCTTTACGGGTAGATACTGGGAGATCTCGTTAGGTTCCGTGAACAGGGAAGGTGGAACGTGCTAAGAAGCAAAAATTTTACATGAAACAAGTGAATGAACGGGGTGGGGGGGAGGTATTCCAAACCCAAACTTTTACAGACAATTAGTGTATAATTTACCTGATTTAAACACCTGAAGTCAGGTATGATTATTAAAATTTACCTTACAACTTCAAATGTACATACAGTCTTTCACTCCTTGTGTGGATCAATAGGCTAAAGAAGGGTATTTAATGTTTCTAAGCAGCACGTTTGAAGAGCGCAAGAAAGTCAGAGACATTCATGAACAGCTACAACGTTTTGAAAAAACATATTTATCATTTGAATGTAACAAACAGTCCTTTTGAGGTTCTAGTCCTAGATAAGACTAGGATGGCCAGAAGGGATCCTGTGCTTAATGTCTTTAGCCATTGCAATACATTCACTGGAGTTGCTCAGATTTAGCTATTGATAACTGATATACCTCAACATGTATCTTAGTTTTATGAAGTCCACCACAGACATTTATATGAAATACTAAAACTCCATGGATTTTAATTTCGTATTTGAAGAAATTAGGTGGTTTCATTAAGTTAATCAATATCTTTCCCTGGAGATTCCTGTGGACAACTTAACTTCACCACATACAAGACATTGGATGGAAAACAAACAAACAAACGAACAAACTATACTGAGCAACCCACCTTCAAACTTTCTAACAACATTCTTTAAGAAGGGTATCCAGAGCTATTCAAATGCAACCTGTATTTTGGCTACCCCTAACACGCAAGGAGTCACACTGCTGTTTCAATTATCTCAAACCTAAGTGAAGCAAGAATCTTTTTCGCTTCACCCGTGCGAGATGATCTAGGGAACTGAAAAGCCGTATGCATTTCCTCTCTATAACAACAGGCGGCAAATTATTTATTATGTTAAATTTATTATTATGTTATTTAACAGATGATAATTTTTAAACGCGAGGTGAAATAAAACCTAGATCACTGATTTATATTTCAAAACCCATGAAACTATCAAAAAGGTCGTGTCTGGATTTAGTCCTGTTTATAGGGATCACATATCGTTAAGAAATGATACAGTGCCCCTTTCCTCAAAAAGAAAAGCATTTCGCAAAAATATTCCCTCAGAAGATGAGTAATATATTAGTCACTTTGTACAGGTGAAGGAAAAACAAGGGAGAAGGAAAATAACAAGAATACCCAAGATCAGGTGTTAGGTCAAGAATAAAAATCAACAGCTCCAAACGTGCCACAAATTATCCTGAGCCATTACTAGAGTTTTAAGGTGGGCTATTAAACTGATTTGAGAAAAACTGAATGAGCCTATTACCTAACATATCTTAACCCCTAATATACTACTTGCAAGCATGCAACCAGCCTTGAAATTTAGCATCACGGGAGATGGACTACCTGATTTTGTGGCTGAACAGTTCTATGAAAAAATAAAATAATAAAAAAATCTTGTTAACTCAAAAGTAGAAAAAGTAACCCAATCCCATATCTTGTCATGTGATCTGAGCATTTACAAATGCAAATCTGCCCTGAAATCACCGAAACAAATGTTGCGTAAGCAGAAAGGTTCTTCTTCTGCACCAATTCCAAACCTAACAAAGAATGACTTACAGACACAGTATTTTCTATGCTGACCATAAAACAATTTTAAAAAGCAGACGGGGGGGGAAAAAAAAAAACAACATTAAAAAAATGTAATACCTTTAAACTTGATATTTTGCTTTCTCGGGATGTATATTCTCGCAACATGTAGGCCTTGTCAGCCTAATGAGAAAAAAAAATGGCAAAAATTAATTACAGAATTATCATCTAGTATCAGTGCAAAATGAGCATTTGACATATATTGACTTTAGCAAGCATTTGAATTTGGTTGACCACAAATTTCTACCTGGGAGCAGAAATGTACGTTCAAATTCATGAAGACAGAGAAAGGTGTTTAGCAATGTTCTCTTTCCCAAAAATCACCCTTCTGCGTGCATGTATGAAAAAAAAAATTATATGACTGAATATGCTTGTCAATCTTTACTCAGCTAGAACTCCTACATCAATACGAATAAAACTAGACAGAATAAGCAAAGCACAACTGTTATGCTCTGTATTATTTATGAGATACTAGAACTCAATGTAGTACGGACAGTTATTTGCAAGTTAAAACTTGCAGTCGTATATTAGACAAGCCAAGAAACATTTACTTGGAGACGCAGATAAGAACAATATCACACCATTTACTGTTGCCTGTTTTTCCTCTTGTACTTCCTCTCTAATCTGCATCTGCCAAATATATTTAAATGATTACTTCACATGAGAGGTAGCCTACTCTGCTCATACAACACCTGGCCCCATGGCATCCAGCACTTGGTTGCTACTTCAGCACCACCGCAATAACAAAATGCACTTGAAAGTTCAGTTCAGGTAACCTCTGTGCCCCCAAGCATCGGTATTAAATCACAGGAGTATCAGTAAGTCTTCTCTGAAAGTAACATGGCAAGGGAGCATCTGTAAAGTATTCATGATGGCGAATAAGGGTTTACCTCATGATGAAGCCTTGTATCATTCATCCTGATAAGTACCCCATCAACTCTCAAGAAAAACCTCAACAGCACAAAAAAGCTGGAAGGCATAACTCTCTGCAAAATAAAGATGTTCCGTTCAGCATATTACGGAGTTTTACTCTAAGCACGCACTTATTTACATCAGATATTCACAACAAAAGATAGTGTAGGAGCTTTCAGCAGTAAAGTCAAAATTCGGGCTGTTGATATGCTACAGCTACCATTGGACAGCAGGGCAGACAGTGCCTCAAAAGATTCTTAGGCAGGATGAAGAATGAGGGAGAAGATCGTTCCCTGAAGCAACTGACAGAAAGATTTCGAGACAACATAGTTTCCAGTAAGATTATATTTCTAAGAGCGAGGATAAAGAACTTTGCATTTTAAACTTGAAATCCCAGAAGGAACAACATGCAAAAAGTGACTGCATTTTGCATACATTAGCCAACTGAGTCACCAAGCGTCTTGTATATGCCTCTTAGTACTCACTATTTTTACACTCAAACTTGATACTCCATGATCGTGAAGTTCGTCTTCAAACAGAAGTACTTCTTCAAAAAACATAATTTGTTCCCTGGCTTTCAATTTCTCTGTATTTATGTGTTCTGTTGTAGGAACAACCTAAAGAAAAACATTAAGAACAGTTAGCATATTAATTTGTTGCCAAGCTATATAAAGTTTGCCCTGATCATTTAAATCCCGCAATTACTAGTTTTAAAAAGGAAAAAGCTTTTAGGGCACTGAGCTTAAAACATCCCAAATTTCTAAGAGAAAAAGTTAAAATTAAAACCAAAAATTTGCAAGAGGAAACATCACTCAAAGCAAAAACCAAGAGCGGAAAATTCTGAATAAACTTCCCTCTGGTTACAGGCTCAGTGGGGTTTCAGCGGCAAACAATTCTGCTCACTTTCTGTATTTCAAAACATTTGAAGATGCCTCAACAAACATACAAATGAGACATTCTGGGCTATAAACAAGATTCCATGCATTTAGTATCTCTAGCCCACTACAAACCCTGAACAGGATTCTAATAAAGCCTTTCCATGGAAATCAAGTACCTGTACGTTTTCCATCTGACGGTCTCCATACACTCATACACCTCCGCTACCTAAAGACTACGGGCCAACAAGACATCGTTTATTTCTACGCTGCACTTTTAATTCCAGAGTAACTCAAGTGATCTATAGCTAACGCAATCCTAGTGAATGAATGTAGATTATCTGCTTAGTAGCAAACAATCTGTATACAGTAAAGAGAAGCTGGGAACTTCAGTCTTAGTTTAAAGTAAATAAAGAGGAGGGAGGGCCTGTGAGTTTAAATATGAGGAGTTACTGTTGCAGAAAAACATAAAGCCACTGAGAGCAGCTAGATCTACATATCTGCTTAGACAAATGGGCAAGCAACAGAGAGTAAAGGTACTAGAGAATTACACAGTTGATAGTTCTGTTGTGTGTGAGGAGCTCAGGGCTTCAGAGGAGCACCCAGCAAGCGCTGAAGATTCCTACGTGCTTTACTCTCTGAGTAAGTCCTCACTAAGGGAGACAATGGCACCCTTTTATATAATCCTAAAATGCCTTAAAAACCAAAAAGTAGTTATTAAAATAAGCCATGATTTGATTTGGATAACATGCTGAGAGACATGAAAAGCCCAAACTATACTTTGAAGTCAGAAACTATGAGGCATGAAAGATTTTACAGAAGCCTACTGGAAGGTAAATGACAGCTTTAAAAAAAAAAAAAAAGTGTTTGTGTCTGACTGAAACAATATGCAATCAGCATTTAGCAAGGAGAAAATGGTTACCTTTAATGTCGCAGTATCTCCCAGCAACGTTCCTTTGTAGTCTGTTGTGTAAGTCCAATCATATGGCTTGACAACTTCCTTAGTGTGCTCAGTCTCACTCAAAAACTCACTCCTCAAGAAGGGAACGAGAAAACAGCATGCTTTGTAAAAAAGTTACCACCTCACATAAGATTATGTATTATGATTCCCACACTCTTGAAGAAGAAAAACAGCAGCATTGTCTGTGCTGCAACAACGATGTCAAGATTTAACCATACAGTATTGCTTCTTTCACAACATCTGTTTCCATAATAAATTAGAAAACCGTTACCAGAATTCCTGTGCTAACACTACCTCGGTCCTGTGAGGCAAAATAAAGATTTTAGTTCAATGTTGTTGAAATACATTTGCATTTCAAGATCACTTTTTCTTTAAGTAGGCAGAAAGCAATCTGCTGATAACACACAGCAATCATTAACACTGCTATTTGCCTCGCTTTTCATAACAGCTTTGACTTCTCTCTGTGCTTTATTTCTAGGTGCTCTGCAACTCATTTGGTAAATACTAAGCAGCACAATTAGTTCTCATGCATGGTAATTGTTCTGCTATATTCCTAAGGCTAAGATTTTTAACACGTACAGCATTTTGCACTCTGAAATGCCACACAATACACTCTTGTAATGCTCGAGGCCCTACGAGTTTGAATAAACAGAAACAGCATTAAGCTGTGCTAAACTTGTAGTTTATTTTAAGAAAGCCAAGACACAACTGAAAAATGTAGTTGACCCAATTTAACAGAGAGGATGATCACAGCAAAGAAAAGCCAAGTGACTTCTGTGATCACACGCTGTATCTACGGTAGAACCAAATGCAACACGGTCTTCAAGAGTTCCGTCTGTTTTTTAACTACTTTACAACAGTTTCACATACAACACCCCAGTACTTGCCCACTGGTGATAAAATACTGTACCTGCTCTCCTGCCACTCCTCTGCACAAGCCACTTTGATCATACCTTGACAATTATTGACACATTTTAAAGCATCTGTTGCATTGAACTCAATTCCGAAACCATGATCATGCTGTATTCTTAGGATATTGTCGCCAAACATCATCTCTGGCAGGGAAGGCATGTGTAATTCATCAGCCAATCTGCACAGAAAAATAAAAGTCCCATGAAGAGAGATCAGTCGGCTACAGTTCAGTGAAAGCAGTCCTTGGTTTGGAATAAGTATTCTTTAGACCATGGTAATTGAGAAGACACATCATCAATATGTTCTGCCAAACTGTGTTGTTTTCCCAGTTTAATCATTTGACATGAATTGCAGAGTCATTGATCCGAAGTGACTTTTCCACCACAAAAGTATTCCTAAAACATTCCTTCTCCAGTCTCCTACAAAAGTCTCATAAGTGAGGAATCGAAAAAATATCTGATAAGCATGAAGTAGCAACTTTCAACCTGTTGTAGCAAATCCCTGGATGGTCCATGAACCACTTCGGCAGGTGCCCAAAAAGAAGTTTTAGGAACAAGCACTTGTTGTCAGCAAGTTTAAATTCACGACACAGTGGTCCATAGCGCCAAACTTAGAAGCCTACAAAAAGGGGCTGAAAATAACCCTGGCAGAGAATGTGAAAAGTGCAGAAGAGACTACTGTGCTCTACCGCTTTCCCGAGCTGGTAGAGGATACATACCGGTATTTCTAACCTGAAACATGAAAGCCACAGCCATAGCCACAGACCCAACCGAACAAAGTACTGCATGAACCAAATAAGCACGGTCCCTGCAGAAAATCTAAAACCAAACTATTTCACATTTTGTTTTACATCAATCTTTATACTTATTTATAAAGATGTACATATATACATACACTATATATAAATACACACACACACAATACCACTTTACATACATACTGACCTTATTTACCAAAAGGCTTCATATACTTCTTTTCCTCCCTACCACTACCTACTTATCAAGATCAAAAAGAAATACATGACATCTGGAGAAAAGAAAACTTTAGGAAATACACTACTTATAAGGACGGGAAAAACAAAAATGTCCCCATTGCAACTTTCACATTGATAATAAGGCATTCCAGAACAAAAGTGGTTATTTCTGTAACCCTGCATACAGAAGAACATTATGCTAACCAAACTGAAACAAAAATAGTGAATTCATAGACCTGGAGAATAAGATCCTATATCTTTTCCAGAGAAGCAGAATAACGTTATGAACTTTTCCGTTTCATCAAGTGTAGGCCCCTTGACCGGCAAAGACCAACTCCAGCACAGCAAGGAGTTCTTGGCTATGGCACATTGAATCCTTCACCTATCAACAGAGGCTGCCGAGGGATTTTTGTGATACGTTTGCCAGAAATAAAACTCCGTCAGAGACTAATCATGTTCCCCATGCAATAAAAAAAGGCAAAATGCCAAGAGAAATACATTATAAAAGGAAGCCAACTAAAAGCATTGCAACTTGGCTCTTCAAATTTTAAGTGGAGGAATTGTTTTGGGGATCTCATGCTAGGTACCAAGACCTCCAGGTACACGGCCCATTTTGGACTTCTCTTCTCTACCCTGCAAAATCCTCTGTGTTCTTTCAAGCTTGCATTGCGGCTCTTGCAACTTCACTGTTCAGCATTTTTCAGCATGTTCTGAAAAACTGTGCCTCCCTCAAAAACATCTAAACAGACAAAGGTAACTTCTGAAAGTTACAGAGGTGACTTTTAAAATAGCTACAGTTAAAGAAACTGAGTAAATCAGAAAATGAGTACAGCATGCAATTTGGCTTCTAGACTGGCAGTTCCAAGTCTCTCTCTTGTTTACAGATAATGAAGAGAGTTGACAGCCTCCTGATCTTAAGAAGAAACATCTCCATTTTTAAGAGGCAGCATCCTACAAAATAAGTCCTCACAAACACGCCATAAAAATGGGATACTCTGACAACAGCCCTCCCTCCCCTGCAGGACACAGACACAGCTTAGCTGGATCTTGAATCCCCATCACAGAAAAACGACTAAATCACAGGATTCTAATTTTTCTACCCGCAACTGCAAAAACTAATGGACTGTTAGTCAGAAGCAGTTGATGAAGATTATTTTAGGCATTGAACATAGGATAAAGATGGAGGAAGGAAAATAGTTTTTACCTGTTTTAAGGCACAGATCCAGTTTTAAAAAAAATCAGTATAACACTGTTATGTTAAAAAATTTAGTATTTACATAGTTTACTATAATAAGAAAAAAAAAGCATAACTTTTCAAGACATGGGACTTTATCAAGCAAATTACCCTCAGAAAAGTTAAAGGCAACATGAATGAAGATACATTTAGCAAGGCTAACAAGATTTCCATGTATGTATTCCAGAAACTGAAACCAAGACGTATCTGTCAAATTCAGCGGCCACTAAGGCCAGCTATGGCACTACGCAGCCGAACTGCTCAGTTGTTCCACGTTAGCAAATCTGACGTAAGTACTTGATGCTGACACAGGAGCATTTTCTCCAACAGTCTGACAGCAGTGGAAATTACTACTACAAGGAGAGAGCAAGTAATAAATTTTTAATGAAATCCACTATCTTAAAACAACCATTATCATGAAATAGCTTATGACAGTCTGTGGACCACATTTAAAAGAGCCTTAATCACCATTAAAAAGCGATTAAGAAAAAGAGGCTTCTAATTAGCAGGCTTCACTTCACAGAGGTCCAGATCTCCCAAACCGTTAGCAATCATGAAAAACAAAATCCCGGAAACCATCTGTAACCCAAATCACCTCAGTTTCTCAAGCCAAAGAATCGAGCTTACCCTCGCAAAAAGAGAGGGAACGAAAATCCCCTGAGCAGTACTGGATATACTGGAATAATATACTGGAATAAGCAGCGTCTCCGCCGCCCAGGGGACGTTATTTCCTTCTTGCGCAAGGCGCCCCAAGCCCCTCGCTGTCAGGGAGCGAGGTCCCAGCCCCGCCGAGGTTCCTCCCCGCGCCCTGGTACCGCTGAGGTACCGTCGGCCCGGCCAAGCCGCCCCCCGGCCCGCCTCACCTCTCAGCCTGCGCCGACTTCATGATGTGCGTCCGGGCGGCGCTCAGCTTCCACGGCCCGAAGGTGAAGTCGCGCCGGCTGCTCTGGAAAACGGGGTGCATGGCGGCCGCGGGCGGGAGCGCTGTGTAAGGCTCCTTGCGAGCCGAGCCGAGCCGAGCCGTGCCGAGCCTGCGGTGGGTCGGGACGGCAGGGCACTCCCCTGGCTGGTGCTCAGCCCCTTGGCGAGTGGCGGCGAACAGCGGCGATGCTGCACGCTCCTGACTGCCCTGCCCTGCCTCGCCGCTCCGCCGCAGCCCGCGCACCCCTCACGGAGCAGCGCCGCCGCCGGAAGCACGGCTTCAAGGCACTTCCGCTTCCTTTCCACGCCCGGAAGCCGAGCGGCGGTAGGAAGTGAGGTCCGGCGCGGCGGGCGGGAGCGATGGCGGCAGCCCCCGGAGCCTTCGTGCTGCGGGGTGAGAGGGCGGGCAGCTGGGCGCGAAGAGCTCACCGGAGCCCCTCTTCCCGGGGAACCGGGCTGCAGCCGATGCCTCCAGCCGCATCCCCGGTGGTACCGAGCCCAGCCCGGCCCGAGAGCGGTAGGGCGGCTCTGGCCTGATCCATCGGATGGATGGGCGAGAGCGGCCGTGGGGAGCTCAAAAGCCCCGAGGGTCCCGGGCCGTTCTCCCTGGCCATGCTCAAAGGTTCAGCAAGCACAGCCTAGCTCAGACAGACAGACAGATGCGTGGTGCTGTTTTAGATGTTACGTACAGAGATGCACACATACAGGTGGAATCTCCTGTGGTGGCTGGATGTCTTGGATGCTGTCCAAAGATGGTCTTTTAAAAATGTCAAAATGCGATGGCGTCGTAAGCTTAAAATCCTGTAGAAAAGCATCAGTAGAACCGGTTGAGAATGACACATAATTCACTATTCCAGCACCGACGGCGGGGCGCTCCTGTTGCTTTTTTACATCATCGAGAGGACAGACCGGCTCCCCGGGAGCTTCCCTTAGCGGGGGGCACGGCGCGTGGTCCGGCTCCTTCTGCTGGACCCGGGCGAGCGGAGACGGTGGCCACGGGAGCGCGATGGCCCCATCACGGAAACACCGCGTCTCTTCCACGTCCCAGAGCAACCCAAGGCCGCAAAGCTCGAGCCAGAGCAGTTGTCCTCTGGGCTCGGGGGCCCTGCCAGGAGACGGGGAAGCCAGGAACTGGCGATGCACAGGCGTGGTGGTGAATTATCCTTCACCCTTTATGCTCTGCCCACCTGTGCTTTGCTTCAGGTGTGTGGGGGGGAAGGACCCCTCCCCAAATCCGCTCTGTATTACTTTTAACTGCGTTTCTGGGGCTCGGAAGTTGAGCGATGGGGATCTGCCCCTCTCCGTGCCTGACTCGCACTGTGTGCTGTGGCTAAGGCACCTCACCTCACCTGTGTAAAATGGATGCCCCCCCCCCCCCCCCCTTTTTGTGGTTTTTTGAGGGGGGGGGGGGGGGGGGGGCCCCCGTGGGGGGGGAGGGGGGCCCCGCCGCAGATATGGCCCGTGCCTGCTACCCAGGGATCCTGGATGCTGACGATCCAGGGCCAGGCCCCTGGCTGGGCATCTCTGCCCCCCACGACGCG